GGGACTCTACCTTGGACAGTCGTTTGCCTAATCCAAGGCAATCTGTTCTGTGGTCTGATGAACTGCTGGGTGGATCGCGATCTGGTGAAGTTAGAGATGGAGCATTTAAAGGCTGGATGCTTGAAAATGTAAAATTTTTTGTGATTGTTGACTTGTGCGATCAACAAATTTTACTTTTTTGCAGAAATCTCGAGTAATCAGACGAGCTGTTGGAGCGAGTTCTAGGCCGATGAGTGTGACTTCGTTCCTCGCGTTTATTGGCTCTTCTAACATTCAGCAGCTCCTGGGATCTCCCGCCGCACAGAGAGTCAGTCGAAAGTCTTGTTTCCATGTTTCGTGTTTTTGAGAGGAAAACTTACAACTTGTAGCGCTGTCCTATACCAAGAACTTGGCAAACTCTTGAGCTCGTACATGGTAGTCCGCATGTCTTCGTCGGTGGTACGTCTTTATTCGAATATCCTTGAGTATTCTCAGTGTCTTCTCTTAAGGAGATATGGTGCTCCTTGCGAACTCTGCTAACGATCCCGCTTTCTTTCTACATCACTGTTTCATCGATTACATTTGGGAGACGTGGCGACAGGCAAAACAGGTCAAGCAGTTTGAATGATTAGAGCGCGGTTAAGCAGAACACATTCAGCGTAGGCAAGATCGAGAAAGTGAGTATCCAAGGGATGACTCTCGATGTAGCAGTGCTGCCCATTTTGCTCGTGCTCCCATGCTTCCATTTTCACCTATGTTAAATATCGATGGCCTAAGCAACGAGTACACAGGTAGTTTTTATCTCCTTGTAAACTTTTTGAAGTTTGTTGGGTAACAGATAAACTCGATTTTGTTTTTTTCCCAGATTATCTCTATCGGTACGCTGGGCGACCCACCTGCTCACACAACAATCGCAATTGCGGATCGAGGTAAGCCGCACAAACTATCCGCATGCGTATGCTTATAACACAAGCTTGAAGTCTAAATTCCATCACTGCTTTTTCTGTTCCTTATTTGTTCTGACAATTTCATATTTCTTTTTGGAATTCACCTGTGGACGCGTAAAAACCCTTTTTTCTATTATTTAGTGCACACCGTTTTTCAGTCTTTATCAAATCTACGATTTCGTGTGTCATGAAAGGGCAACGGCAAGTGTGGAATTTTTTT